GTGTCTTTTTGAGACAGGGTCTTGCTATGCAGTTCAGGCTGGCCTTGAGCTCACTTTGTAGCCCAGGCTGGTCTTGAACTTGCAATGATCTTCCTGCCTCAGCCTCCCAAGTGCTGGGATTACAGGTGTGCGCCACCATGCTCGACTTAACACTTTTTTTTTTTAAATCTTAGAGAAATGATCTAAGTAGCTGAAGTTTTCAGTAAAATGAAAATTGAAATGGAAAGATGTTAGAGGTTGTTTGTGCTAAGTAGAAAGTGAATCACAAAAATACATTGGTTTAATGACAATAACTTCAGGAGAGAACTTTTCTTTTTTTTCCTTTAAGAAGAGATCTCATTATGCTGCCCAGGCTAACCTAGTACTTCTGGGGTCAAGTGATCCTCCTGTGAGACCCCGCTGAGTAGCTGGGACTGCAGGCAAGTGCCACCACATCTGCTCTCAGAAGTTTTTCAGTGAACACCATCCATAGTGGTAAAACGTGGATCGTAGGGATGAAAGAGGCAGGGTCAACACCCAAGGGGGCAAGGTGCCAGGCAAACTGTGTTCCCCACTGATGACTGAGATGCTTGTGATTCACACCTCTCTGAAGGGCAGGCTGCCTGTGCACAATTTGAAAAGGACCGCACACATTTTCTCAGCAATCTCCATAGCGGATGTGTACCCTGTGGACAATGTCATACACGTGGATGTGCCTGCCTGCTATGGTACAATTCACGGGAACAAGAAGAACTGAAGACACCCAGTGGGAAACTGGTTAGTTAAGACCATCAGTTTTTGTTGTTTTTTTAAAAAGTTTTTTAGTAGCTTAAAAGAACAAACAACTTTTACTATCTCTCAGGGTTTCTGTGAGTCAGGAATTCAGCCAGTGTACAGCAGGGACAGACTCTCTCTGTTCTGTGATGACTGCAGCCACAGCTGGCAAGCCCCAAGGCTCTGGAGCTATGAGGACGCCGGTCTGAGGACTGGCTTTGAAGGCGGCCCACGCACATGGCTACCATGTTGATACTGGCTGTTAACAGATTTATCTACACATACATACATTTCGAAGGACATACGAGAAATTGCTGAAAGTTTCCCATTGGGAGCTACAGCTAGAAGAAGACTTCCTTTTCAAGGGGCCAATTTTTGTTTTTATAATCTTATTAGTACACACTTGCATCACATAAAGATTACGTTCATCATGGGGAGTTGGTACAGGTATAAGACACATCTTAATTATTGCTCTTATAAGGCTGATATGAAAAAAAATTTTTAAAAATGCTGATGATGTTTTACTTTTATAATAGAGAAACGTGCTCGTAAAAGGTTCAGGTGGACTCGTGATGTCTAGCAACGTCCAAACTGCGTGGTTTGGTTACCACAGTGTTGATCAGTATTTGAATTTGCTGCCAACCTTTCAAAATTCAGGGATCACATGAAACTATAAAATTTCGTTGTTTTTATTTATTTTTTGTTTTTTTGCCGGTACCGGGAATCGAACTCACGACCTTGTGCTTGCTCGGCAGGCGCTGTGCCACTAAGCTAAATCCCCAGCCCCACTACAAAATTTCTTTTGGAAATCCGGGGGCAGGTGCTTAAACACTGGAAGGCATTTAAGGTCCCACAAAAGCTGAAGGGTGTGGCAGAGCCAGGACAAAGGGAGGGTCTGCCGCTTTTGAACGTGGTGAGGGGAAAGCGAGACGTGTCGGCCCGGGTCATCGCCTGACACTGGCCAGAGGCTTCTCAGTGCTGCCCTGCGCAGATCGTGCGACTCAAGGCATATTAGTTTAGGATCTCCAAAACTGCGAGTGTCCTATCGAAGTACTTTTGTATCTGCCCTTAAGAAGCCCCCTACTGCAGCTGCGCGGCCCTTCCTCGGGAGGCCTGCAAACCTCACAATTCCTAAGTCAGGCTTGTCTACATTCTAGACACCGACTGGCGGGTGGTTAACCCAGGAGAGCCGGAGCCAAAACCAAGACGCCTGGCAACATATGATACGCTCTGGGCCTAAGCTCTGCGTCGATAGGTGGGTGCCTGCTCCCCGGGCGTCCCTCTTCTATAGTCCTGGCCGATGGTCTCCCGGAGTCCACTTACTTCCTCCAGGCCCAGCGCAGTCTGCAGTGTTTCCATAGAGCCCGCCCCCACTCGCCGCTGTCAGGGGCTCCGGGTGCGCGCGTCAGCCGAGCGAGCGTGTGGACACACGCAGCGGACGCCTTCGCGCGTGCGCGCCCACACTGCGCGGATCCGGGAGGGCAGGCTGCCCCGAGCGGTTCCAGGCCCGGGGAGCCCGAGTTTGCAGGACGAAAGGGCTAAACACAGATGGACTCGCCCACTCCTGGAACCTGTCGCGGAGGCCGCAGCCGATCCTTACGCGATTCTCTCGCCCACTCCGAGGCGAGGCCCAGGAGCGCAGAACACCACTCCCAGCACACCCCGCGCTACTTACTCCCAGAAAGCCGCGGGCAGGGCGTTCCCGGCATGCGTTGCGTCGCTCGCTCCCAGAAGCGCGGGGGCGGACGTGGGGGCGGGGCGTTCCCGACACGCCCCGCGGCGCGGCGCTACCCGCGGATTTGAATCTTACAACCAGGCTCTGACTGCGGCGGCGACGGAATGGGGGCCCCGTCACTGCCCCGGGCGTGGCAGCTCTATCTCAAGGACCACCGTGTCTCTACGTTCAAGAACTGGCCCTTTTTGGAGGGCTGCGCCTGCACTCCGGAAAGGGTGAGACAGTGGGCTTCTTCGCCACCTCTCAGGCCGGCCTTTTTTGTTTGTTTGCTCGTACCGGGAATCGAACTCATGACCTCACGCTTGCCAGGCAGGCGCTATGTCGCTGAGCTATATCTTCGGCCCTCAGGCCGGCCCCTGCCGGGGACTGTTGACCTCTTGGTACCAGAGCCCCAGGGTCTGGGCCGCCGCGTCCCTTAGGTTGCCCCGCCCCGCCCCGCCTCGGCCCCGGAACGGTTGGGACCCGCTCCCCTTACTGCTTTCTCCTCGCGTATTGTCGCTGTCAAGGTCTCCTATCCTGTCCCAGCTCCCGGTCCCGGAACTACCCCGTCTTGGGGGTTTCTGACCCCCCAGTGGCTGGTCTGGGGTCTAGGGCCTCCGCATTTGCTCCTAAACTGCTGTCCCTTGCAGATGGCCGAGGCCGGCTTTATCCACTGCCCCACTGAAAACGAGCCCGATTTGGCGCAGTGCTTCTTCTGCTTCAAGGAGTTGGAAGGCTGGGAGCCAGATGATAACCCCATGTAAGTCCCTCCGGATGCTAGTCTTCTTGAGTGCCTCAGTTCCATCAGAAAGCTTTTGGGTTGAACTGGGCTGGAAGAAAACTATTTGAGTTTCCAAGATGCTTATTACAGAAGGGATGGCTTTCCTAACTTCACCTTGTGAAATAAACAGCTGTTGTGAACCGGTACAGCTCCATGTGCTGGTGCATTGGTGATATGTGAAACCTAATTAATTTGAATTGGGCACAGTACCTCACTCCTGGAACCCCAGCTACTCAGGAGGATGAGGCAGGAGGGTTCCAAATTTGAGGCCAGACTGGACAACTTAGTTTTTGCTTTTTTTTTTTGTTTGTTTGTTTGTTTGAGGCAGGGTCTTGCTATGCAGTTCAGGCTGGCCTTGAGCTTACTTTGTAGCCCAGGCTGGGCTCGAATTCTCAACAATCCTCCTGCCTCAGCTTCCCGAGTGCTGGGATTACAGGCATGCGCCACCAGGACAGGCTCAAGAGACTTGTCTTAAAATTAAAAAAAAAATCTGGGAATATAGCTCAGTGGTAGAACACCTCTGGGTTTGATCCAGGGTATCCCACACACACATGCCTGCAAAGTAAATCTGATTTAGCCAAAACGTCCTTCAGGGTGGATGTTGAAGACTCATCTGTGTAAGGTGCTTGATGTTTTTCAGTTCAAAAGAATAACAGGATCTGCCCCTGCCCTGTGACCTCCCCAGAAACTGCCTGAGATTTTTTTCCTGAGACAGGGTCTCACTGTGTAGCTCAGGCTGGCCTTGGCCTCACCATTTAAGCCAGGGCTGGCCTGAAACTCACAGTGACCCTCTTGCCTCAGCCTTCCAAGTGCTGGGATTACAGGCGTGCACCACCACGCCTGGCTTTTGCCTGAGATTTTTAAAAAACAGCTTTTGCTGAACACGGAAGTACACACCTGTGATCCTAGCACTTGGGAGTCTGAGCAGGAGGATCCTGTGAATTTGAGGACAGCTTGGGCTACATAGTGAGTTCAAGGCTGGCCTGATTTACATACGGAGACCCTGCCTCAAAAAACCAAAAAGTAAAATAAAATAAAAATAAAAAGACAACCATGCATGGTGGCGCAATCACAGCACTAGGAAGGCTGAGGATCACCACGAGTTCTAGGCCAGCCTGGGCTATACAGCAAGACCCTATCTCAACAATAAATACATAAATAAATAATAATAAAGACAGCTTTATTTGAGATGTAATTCTCATGCCACAAAAGTCACCTTTTTATAGTTGTACTTCTGTGTTGTTTGGAATTTTGTTCATCAAGATACTGTTTTGTGGGGGATGGGGATTTAGCTCAGCGGCATAGCACCTGCCTGGCAAGCGCAAGGTCATGAGTTCGATTCCCGGTACTCCCCCCCCAAAAAAAGAAAAGAAAGTTGTTCTTGAAGATACTGTTTTGTTTTATTTTGTTTTTTATTTTGGTATCGGAAATTGAACTCAGGACCTTGCACTTGCAGGCAGGAGCTTGTGCCACTGAGCCTATATTCCCAGACCTATGTGTATTTTTTTTTTTTTGGAAGGGGAATATTTGTTTTGTTGTGCTGGGGATTGAACCTAGGGTCTTGTACATGCTCTGCAAGAACTCTGGTACTGAGCTACCTCCCTGGCCTCTTAAGTTTATTTTGGGACAAGGTCTTACTAAGTTATCCAGATGAATCTCAGACTTTCAGTCCTCCTGCCTTAGCCTCCCAAGTAGGCAGGTTTACAGACATGTTCCACTACACTCAGCCTGTTCTTGTTTTTGTTTTTTTAATTCTGTGTATATAGTCAGACTACCGTATCTGTATTTTGGTAATGTCTTTCCATGTTGTTTTCTCACTTCTTGGTCCTGTCAGAATCTATTACTTCCACAACCTTAATTTTTGCCCACAGGGAATCACCTGAGTTGTTTCTCTTGTTGGCCAGAAGAGCATTGCTGTTTTATTCCCTGATATATTTGCTGTCTGACCAAGTGTTGAATGGATGGGCTGGTAGTTACACGAATGATCAGTGGGGGAAAGTTAGGGATTTTTAAGTGTTACAGTATTTTCTCAGGATAGTTATTATTGCCTTTCCCCTTTGGCTTTTGGTTTTTGGATGGCTGTGTCTCTAATCCTGACTATAGCAACTCTACTATGCAGGAATATTCCTTTTTTTTTTTTTTTTTTTTTTTTTTTTTTTTTTTTTTTTTTTTTTTTTTTTGGTGCGGGGAATCAAACTCAGGACATTGCACTTGCCAGGCAGGCACTGTACCGCTGAGCCATGTCCCCAGCCAAATTTTCTTTTCTTTTTTTGTATGCAGGAATTTTCCCATTGCAGAGGAGAAAGTGAAGGAAAGGGGTCCTTGGGGAAGCCTGGCCAGCTTGACCTTAGTCTTAACCAGTGGGCTATGTGAGCATTCTGTGAACTGAAATTACCTGCAGCACTTCTCTGAGGATTACAGAGGGATTTGATATGTAATTCCTCTAGACGTAAAGTGTACAACACTTTTCCTACCAGTTGCTAAAGAACCTAGATAACATACTGTAACCACGAGGATGGGGGTGAGTGTCTACAGAGTGAGGAGCTGTGAGACAGGCTGTGTGGTCAGCCTGGGGTCCCTCTGCTGGGGGCCTGACACCTTGCTTTGGGAGCAGCACAGCATGCCCAGGGCGACGGAGGGGTGACGGGAAATGGACTGTGGGTCATGAACCACCACTGTTGACGTGTTTGTGTATTGATTTTTCTAGAGAGGAACATAAAAAGCATTCGTCTGGCTGTGCATTCCTTTCTGTCAAGAAGCAGTTGGAAGAATTAACTCTCAGTGAATTTTTGAAACTGGACAAAGAAAGAGCCAAGAATAAGATTGTATGTATCACTGGGAATAGGACCTGAGAGCAGCCCTGGGCAGAATACAGAACTAAACCAACCGCTTCCTCAGAAAGCACTCTCAGAGCCTTGGGGTCCGAAAGAGAGACCCCGCTGACCTGGAGTGACTTGGAGGGGTACAGTTGGAAGCCACTCTCCCTCAGGGCTTCTGGGTTGGGGATGTGATGATGGTTAGGATTGACTTCCTGTGTTGGACTTCCAGTGTTGACTGTCACCGGAGCAGGATGTCAATCCTTGAGGTGGCTGTGTGCTCATGTGGTAGCAGTAGTATGGACAGAGGGTTTGGGGATGGGACAATCAGACCTGAGGAGTTTCTGCAGCTGAGCTTTGCCTCTTACCTAGTTTCATAGGGTTGTTGGGAAAGCAGAAGGTGACACCATGAGCTACAAAGAGGTGGTTCCCCAGCAGCTCTGTGAGCAGAGTTAGGTTTCCCTGAGACCAGGACTCCCAGTTAAATTTGAACTTTAGATAGACCAGAAGTAATGTTATAGAATATCCCACTTTTTTTTTTTTTTTTTTTTTTTTTTTTTT